GTTTTTAATATTTCTGATTTCTTGTGTATACCACACAGGATATTTGGTGCTGTTCACTATTCTCTTTTGTCTTTTAGGAACGAATTCTTCAATAATATTGTATAAGTTAGTGTAAAATATGTCAACAGCCTTGTCCATGTTGTTTTCATCTTTTAAAAGGTTTTGCCAACTTATGTTATTCAGTCTGTTGTTAAATTCAGGAACATTTGCATTTTTAAAATCATAAACTAATTCAAAATCAACAACGCTTGGGCGTGACCGATGCGAGTCTGTGAACACTGAGTATTCAATAGCCGTATGAAATTTTTCATTCTTCCATAATGGAACTGCTGCTTCTACAATACAAAAATCTTCTGTACAATTAGTAAACATAAGATCCAAATAGGAATTGAGCTGGTTACGAACATGGTTAATTTGATGAAGTCCCAAGTGGCTGCTTTTATCAAAGATGAATTGCAAAGTATCGTTTTCTCCTACAATTGGTAACAACAGAGAATCATTATCACTATCCTGTATAAAATTAACAGTATTCTGGTTAAAATCTCCATAAATATGAATTTTGGTTCTTGGATCTTCTCTTTGAATTTTCAGTTCTGCAGCAGTGAAAAACTTTTCGTAAGCTGGTTTTTTGGAAAAGTGTGGAGGAAAGTAGACAGAAGCGAAAAGATGTTCTTTGCCGTTTATTAAAATTTTAACCCACACATCTTCAAATTCTTTTTGGCTTTCACTAACAATTTGTTCAGCTTGAAATGTAGCATTCACAGCAATAAGTACACCACCACCTGATTTTTTACCTGATAATGATAAATCGCGGTCACATCGAAAAACACAATATTTACTACCAAAGACCTCTTCGCTATTAATGCTATCAGACCAACTAGTTTCTGTTCCAATTATTATATCATATGTGCATCCGCTTATTTTATTTTGAATTTCATTTATTTTATACACACTACGCATACGGTTAAAATTTTGGCAAAATGTTTTCACTTAAAAAAGAGCTACTTGATAAACTAGCAACATGGTCACTTACGTCGTGCTGGTCAGGGGGTGAAGTGGCTGCATCCTGTCCGAAATCCCTCAAGTTATGTGAGATGCCATGATCCTCGGGCTCAGCTATGTTGTCATATTCTACCTCAGGTGAGTGCGTCAGTGGTGCCGAAAACACGCATGTCTACATGTGCACGGCTGACACGATGTAGAGGAAGAATTCCCCGGAGCCATACCATGTGAATTCTGAAGACCGCTTACTGGGTACGGGTTTATAGTTTCCCTTTTTTCAAACTGCATCGTAGGTTGATAATTAACCGGTGGTTTGTTTAAGACATTTTTTGCTGCTGAAAGCAGCTCTCGATCAGGTGGAAGAAAACGGGGGTTGCCATGATTTCTGATGTGGGACTGGTAGGAACTGTTGTTTTTGTTATTGCTATTAATGTTATCCTGTTCGTTATGTCGAATGATGCTCCGGTGACCGAAAATATTGCTGTGATTGGTACTGTAACCGTTGTCGGAATTCATGTTTCGATGATTACGATGCTTTAAACTGTTGCTGTGTATGTTGTTCTTTACGTTAGAATAATTTCGTGCTGTATTTTGTTTCCTTTTGCTTCTAGCTTTTTCAGCATGTTTTTGTTGATTTAGCCGTCGTGATTTGCGCGCGTCGTAATCTGACCGTCTGCCTTCCAGACCCTCCTCATGCCCAAAAGACGCCACCCTGAGTCATCAACGTTTTGCTCATTGTTTAACTCTTCCAGCAAACTGGGGAGAGGGTCAGGTGATGGTGATATCACTTCGTATGGGGAGTCTGGCATATTAAGTGTGACACAGTTAATTTGGGTTTCGATGTTGCCAATACCAGCCGATAACGATTTCAGCTCATCTAATACAATACCTAACCCTAGTATAGGGTTTTGTTGCATTGCAACAGTAGAGCACAGGTCAGAAGTTATATTGCTGATATTTTTCAGCTCGTCCTTGAGAAAGTTAAGGTCTTCGGAAATTCCTGCTGTCATTGTTGGCATTGAATTTGCAAAATTTTCTTGTGAAGCTTTCATCGCTATGTCAAAAAGCGAGGTAATGTGGTTTTTAATAGCACTAACGTTGTCAGTAGAACCACTGCTTCCAGTTGCCGTCAGCTATTTTTTTATATCGACGAGTAAAGCGAGTCAAACCACAACATCTCGAAAACGGTGTGACTTAGCAAAATTTTACACAGGTGCTTTTTTATTGTAAATTTGGTGTACTTTCATTATACAAAGAGGAATTGGACCAAATTTTGAATATTTTCCCAAAAACTTGAGTTTTTTTTTTAAATTAGAACTATTTTGTCCATAATTTCTCCATTCTGACCTATAGTGGATGGATGGCAATTTTAGATTCAAATTGACGATATGAAGATGCAAAATGGCATAGCTGGTCATAAGGAATGTTTCTAAAATTTTCAACCAAATCAAAAAATCAAAAAATAAAAAATAAACCGATTTGCGAATTTGCAGGGAATTGCTTTGTAACTAATTTCGACTAATTTGAATCGCAGCTAAATAAAATCAATTATTCCCTCCATTAAATAAAGTGAACAATATTCAACCCGGCCTCAAGATAAAGCTATGTAGTGATTATTGGATTACCTGGAAAAGGTTGAATAAGCGCCTTTCAAGTTCACACACTACTAAACAGCTGTATTGAAGCTTAAATGGATATGCAATAAGAGCTTGTCACAACTGTCCCAACAGCCAATAAGTAACTGACTAAATTCGCCAGATTAGCTTGTACGAAGTAAATCCCAAATAACGAGGTTTTTTTACGCACTAATTCGATTTACGAACCCCCGTTTTGGTTCGTAAATGGAGGTTCCAGTGTATAGCGGTTGAGTAAAGGTTACCTCATATTGTATAGCATTTGAATACAGCTTGAGGCCGTATAAATGAAATTAGAAAAGCGTTTACATTGTGAAAATTGTTAGTTGGGCTAGGCGCTATCATGTTCCTGCTAATTCTAAAAGACCTATCAAACTTGAAATTTAAGAGGAAATATTGTTCTTTTGCTCCATCAGGGTTGTACTTAGAATTTAGCTGTATTCAGAAGGATTTAATACACGATTTATTGTTTCTGATGACTTTTTCCTTTCTACTTAAGGAAAATTTGAAAGTATGCGTGCCAGTTTTATCGGGATTCACGCAATTTGTTGGAGCTGACGGCGCCAGTGTGATAATTACATATATGCCAAGGACATGAAGATAAAACGGAGCTCACATACTTGAATATACTGAACTAATTTTACATATGACGGAATCCATCTTTGTCATAAAGGTGAGACGTAAACAAACATGTAATGTAAACTTGAGGGCTCTTATACTAAAAAGTCCATTACTTGTCGAAAAGTACGTTTGATTGAGCTGAAGTTTGCATCTGTTATGACTCAATATTATGTCAAAAATGCCGCTCGTATGCCTCAGTCTCAGAGCATCTAAATTTAAATGATTTATTCAAAGTGTGTCCCCGAGTAGGTGAGAATAGCAAACCAATAGCAAGTTTTGCTATTAAAAATAGGATATCAGAACATCTCAATTTGTTATTAGTTTGATTGAAATAAGAGTTAAAATATCAAAAATAATAACGGAAACCGTTCGGGAGAAAAACTAAATAATAGCAAATCTTGTTATTGCAATATCAAACTAAGAACAAAAAAATCAAAAAAGTCCAAAACATATTTAGCTATTATTAAGATATTAAGAACTAATCAATTGCAAAATGTGATATTAACTAATAAGAACTAATTAAGAATAAATTCAGTTGTTTGGATTGAATAACAAAATAAAAGCAGCTTTAGTAATTCTTCTCAGAGAGCTTAATAATAGTATTTTTTCGGTGGAGAATCAGTTTTACTGATAATAATGATTGAATTCAACAATTCGGCAAAGCTTTTTTTATTTGTGATAATAATAACGATAAAATCAACATGAAATAAAAACGTAACTTTCTAAAAAAAAAAACGAACAATGGCTGAACAAAACAGATTTGAAGTGTTGTTAATATATTGAAATGTTTTTAATAATATTGTTTACATTGGTGGCCAACAACTGCACTCCAAAAAGTTATGCCATAATATTTTTTTCATATGAACTAACAGATATTATTAAAGTAATGCGAGTCAACGACACAATTCATCAATGTATAAATATATGCATGAAAATGAACGATCGATCATTGCAGTTTATTTCTAAATGTAAATTTCATACACAAATTGATTGATTTATGGGTCCACATTTCAAGTATTTATGGTATTTATATTACGTAAGTCTTTAAAATCTGTCGATCATATACAAAGTACAAAATAAAAATAAATACCTATCATTAAAATAAAAAATAAATAAAAATTTCTGAAACATTGAAATGAAAAAAATATTCACCTTACGATTAAATATAGAGTCTAAAAATGGAAAAGAATATTAATATGATGCCAATAGCAAAATAAGATACAATATCATAAATTGTTGTTGAGTTTTTCTTCGACTGTTATTTGGCTCAAAATTTAAATATCATGAAAATAACAAATTTTGATGTGATATCATATTTTGTTATTAGATTGTTATTATGTGTTATCGGTAAATAACATAATAATATCAAGATAAGCTATGATAGTAAAATTTGCAATTGGTTAGTTCTTGGTTTGCTATTCTCATCTACTCGGGTCGTTTATCGGAAGCGGCAGATGTTCACTTAGTATCCGATTTAACACATCAAAGAGTGAAAGTCGATTGGATGTTTGGAAATTAGTGGTTGGTTGTCCACCATCATTGTAAGAATAGGAGTAGCACAGTTGTGTAGCAATGTTGTGTAAAACAAGCAAAAGCCTTGGCTCGGCTTTTTACTACACCACTGGCTACCGTCTTATCTTTTCTTGCTTATCAATGAGCATTTTTTTCGCATCTACATGATAACACTGGCGATGCATTGCAGTGTCACAAGTACGCTGTCAGAGTGTCAATACCAATCATACGATGAAGGTGCTACTGCTGGCGGGAATACTAGTTATATGTTTCACACCCATCGTATTTAGTCAAAATGATCTGCTGTAAGATATCCATCCATCGTGAATGAATAATTTTTAAATTGTTCAATTAATTAATTTTATTTTTTAGGACCGAGTTTGACAAATGCAGGCAGAACATTACCAGCATCGACCAGAGCTCAGATGTGCTGAAATATATTTCAGCGGAAATATTGTATCTTTCTTTGTGTGATAACGATCTGCTGAGCATCCATAAACACTCGTTCCAGAAATTCAGCCTTCTAGAAAAGTTGGTTCTGGATAGAAACAGTCACTTAAATTTTAATTCCGATGGATCTGAGTTTCTTGAGTCAGAGAGTTTGACGGATCTGCATTGCTTTCGATGTGGCGTTGATAAAATATACAACAAATCACTGCAAGGAATGCCTCGATTGGAGCAAATCAACCTTACCGACAACCGAATTGAACAGATTGAAGCCAAAGCATTTTATGGTAACAAGAACTTGGAAAGGATTGACTTGCGGTTTAATAAGTTGCGACGGTTGCCTAGTGAAATGCTGACACCACTTGACAGTATCCGATGGATTGATTTAAGTTCGAATACGGAACTTGCTCCGGAGGGCAGTGAACCTTTTTTGATAAGTACAGTGTTGGAAAAACTACGCTGTAACGAGTGTGGATTTGTGATAGTTCAGGAGTATACATTTTCCATGCTGCCGGGCTTGAAGGAACTGTTTCTTCGAAAGAACAAGATTTACAAGATACATAGTATGGCATTTCCTCAGTCAGCTTTAACGAAATTGATGCTTGAAGATAATGCGCTGAAGAGCATTGACCAGAGTATATTGAATGTGATGAATTTGACTATTTGCTTGGACAACAATAGTAACGAAATGGAATGCTTCCTCAAAGATCTGTCGGAGCAGAAAAAGTTTTTCTGTTCTACTACAACGCAAGAGGATGTTGAGTGCTTGCCACCAACTACAATCAAAATCTCTACCACTAGTACTATCGATGTCACTAGTAGTACCACCGATATGACCATCATTTCCACGAACGACAGAATGCCCATAACGACGACCAATCATCCGGATACTTTTGCAAAAAGCGAAAATCTTATTACTTCAACCTCCTTCGCTCCATCTTTGGAAATCGTCGAAGGAATTTCGGATGCTTACATCGGTGGCTACCTCACGTTGATCTTTCTAGCTCAGATCGTTACCTTTGTACTGCTGTTTGGAGTTTTGCTCAAGTTGAAGAAGTACGACACCGACCCGGATGTCGATAGGTACGCAGAAAATATACTTAATCCGAATCCCATCTATATAGCCGTTTACTGAACATCGGTGTATTTATCGCCTTCCATTGCAATGATATTTTATCAATGAAAATCATTGTCACAGCTCTACTCATCGACAGAGATATCAGCGTTTCCATCCTAATAGCAACTCTAGCAAAGATATTAGCGTCGTGCATGTGGTTGTAAGTGAATCATCTCTTTTGGATCTGTAGAGTTGATAAGAACTGATTATAGAATAGTTCAAATATTTATTTTTATATTTGAAATAAAAAAAAAACACATTTTTGAAATATGAATCATGAAAGGTGTATTTTTCTCGCTTGAACGAAAATTTTCCTACTCAATAATGCATTATGAATGTGGATGTGGATTCGATGTTCATCAAATCAACAACAGTTTAGCATCCGTAGCCACAGCACAAATAGAATCATAAATATGCTTGCCCACAAATAGTTAAACATCATACGTGCTTAGCTTCGATAGCTACCGATGTCCTCAGTCATCGCGTCAGAAACATGTTTGGCTCGTAAAAATCACCACAAAACCATCAGTCCACATCGTGCTCTCTTGCCGTGCGGATCTATTTGCTTTTTGATGAAGGAAGTGTTACTACTACCTAAAGCTACAACAAACTTAAACAGCACTTTTCAGCTCATTTTACCTGTAAATTTTCTTCCTTGTTTGACTCTTATTTGGACCCTACCCGAGGTAATCCTTCTTGGATATCGATTTAAATAGAAAATTCATCTTCGATCCTTCAGATTCTCATAATAATTTGCTTGGAAGTCGATTTGGATAAAATTTTTAATGCCGCCATGGCGTCTAAGCGCAAAAGAAAAGGGCAATCTCTTGATCCCCCTTCTGATGAAATTAATTTGAGCAATCGATTTGATTTGCTCATGGATGATGAGAATTATCCGCCAAGGACCGAATGCAAGAAAACCTGACTGCTGAGACGCTGATTGTTTCTTTTCCAGGAGATCATCACTGCAGCGAGAAATAGGAACCCGAGCAGAGAAGGAAAACAAAGTGAAAACTGAATACAAGCGTTCGTGATAACATATTTTGCCTACCGTGTGGTTGAGTTAACAGTAATCATAACAAAAATGAGATCTAAATGGTATGTGAAGGATATTAAAAACACAATAAATCATGTTTTCTTGATAACAAATCTATGTATGGGTTTTAATACAGTAATTTCGTTAATAATAAACAAAATAAGTTAACATTATGTTATTATAATTATGGTAGGGAAACAAAAAAAAATATAAATAGAACTAAATTAGTTATTATTTTGGTATCATGATATCAAATTTAGTAATCTGAATGTTTGAAATCTATTGGTTGATTTTTTTTCCTTAATTTGTTTTCTGAGCTGAGCACCAATGCTGCCGACGCCAGGGAGGCAGCTCCCACACTTGGACCCTACCTATCAACCCATCAAGTCATAGACCGGGGACCAACGGCTTTACTTCCCTTCTGAAGGAAGGCGTGATCAGAGATGTTATGCCTCAGAAAAACCTATTGGAATTGAACTCAGGCTTGCTGGGGTGAGAGATAATCACGCCTATCACTACACCACTGGCGCCGTTGATATCAAGATTCAAAACCAAAAAAAAAGTATTGATAACGTGATGATAATTCAAAATAAAAACAAACCTATATTTAACCAGTTCTATCGATACCTATCTTAGTAAATTAAATTCGCAGATAGATTAATATCAATTAATGATATAAAATATAACTGTAAAAATCATAATTGTCTTTGTGATGTTTATAAAGAAAACAGCAAGCATCCTGATTGACTCTTAAAAACAAATGTAGATTTCAGTGATAAATGTGCATGCTCTTTTCATAAAAAATCTAATTTTGTTTTTAATTATATTTTTTTTAAATATCTAAATAATATATGAATTCAATTGAAATTAAAAAATTGTATATAAAAATATGTTATCTATATGATTTCAAAAACATAATTTGATATAATTTTGATATTATTTTGATATCCGACTTTGCTCGGGAAGAGTATAAGAGAAAATGAGTTTGCACGCGGCGCGTCATTTTAATTCAAACAAAACACACCCCCAATAGGGGCATTCTGTTAACTGGTTGAAAAACGCAAAAATTAAATTAGAATATAAAATTAAACAAAAGAGAAGAGCCAGGTAGGCTAATCAATTAAAATTTTAAATCAATGTACTATCATAATCAACAGAAATAAACATAATTTGACTACTAATTTTACTGCGCAGCGCGTCATTATTGTTTTGAATACCGAACCGGAAACATCAAACCATCGTATTAGATTGAATTGTCCTTGCGCTTTTTATTCACCTGCACAGCCAAAACAAATTAGCATTTTTCAAGGTTATTACGCTGCGTTTCCGAGGAGTCCCTCCAACAGTCCACCGGTTCTTAATGAGCCAACCGAGCCTTTTTCCAGGCAATCCTTCAGGTGAAGGAGTTGGCCGTTGTCGAGGGAATATTTCAACAGCCCGTCGGGTTCCTGCAAGTGTCCGAGACTGGACAACGACACCAGGTTGTCATAAAAGGACTGCCCAGTGGTGAATCCCTGGATCAGATCAAAGATGAACTGGAAAAATTACTTAGAGTTGTGCCAGTCCAAGTAATCAAAATGAAAATGAAGTCCCATCCTGGCGATTCGCGTTACGGGATTTCTAATGATTTTTTTAGTTCACTCTCAAGTCTAGTGAACTAAATTACTTTAAGGCCTTAGAAAATGCTAGCCTCATGCTCCATGTTCGAGTGAAGTGGGAACACTTCAGGAAGACTGGAGGAAATTTTCAAAACCTCACCCAGTGCCGTAAGTGCCAGGGATGGGGTCACGGAACAAAAAAAATGCTACATGCCAGCTAAATGCATGAATTGTGATGATTCCTCTCACGCAAAGGACAACTGCCGTGTGAAGGAAGATCCATAGAAATTTTAATTTTCAAATTGTGGTGAAACCACAAATCCAATGTTCGGCGAGTAAATGGAGTTACCTATGCTGCTATTGCAACGGATAGAAATCAAAATGCTATCCAACATAATTCTGACGGAAATTGTGATAATTTTTGCTTAGGAAGCATAACAGCTCCTAAAATGGATTTTTTTATACAGAAATCATGAATTGACATGATGACATAGAAGTAGCACAACCACAAAACATCCAACCTACATTAAGGAAAAATCATGCAGAAGACTTGGCTATGCTTTTTACCACACCACTGGCTACCGTCTTATCTTTTCTTGCTTATCAATAAGCATTTTTTTTCGCATCTACATGATAACAGTGGCGATGCATGTCAGTATCACAAGTACGCTGTCAGAGTGTCAATACCAATCATACGATGAAGGTGCTACTGCTGACGGGAATACTAGTTATATGTTTCACACCCATCGTATTTAGTCAAAATGATCTGCCGTAAGCTATCCATCGTGAATGAATAATTTTTAAATTGTTTAATTCATTAATTTTATTTTTAGGAGCGAGTTTGACAAATGCAGGCAGAACATTACTAGCATCGACCAGAGCTCAGATGTGCTAGAAAAGACTCCATTGGACATAATGTATCTTTCTCTGTGCGATAACGATCTGCTGAGCATCGATAAAAACACGTTCCAGCGATTTAACCATCTAGAAAAGTTGATTCTGGATAAAAACAGTCACTTAAATTTTAATTCCGATGGATCTGAGTTTCTTGAGTTGGAGAGTATGACGGATCTGCATTGCTTTCGATGTGGCGTTGATAAAATATACAACAAATCGCTGCAGGGAATGCCTCGATTGGAGCAAATCAACCTAAGCGACAACCGCATTGAACAGATTGAAGCCAAAGCATTTTATGGTAACAAGAACTTGGAAAGGATTGACTTGCGGCTTAATAAGTTGCGACGGTTGCCTAGTGAAATGCTGACACCACTTGACAGAATCCGATGGATTGATTTAAGTTCGAATACGGAACTTGCTCCGGAGGGCAGTGAACCTTTTTTGATAAGTACAGTGTTGGAAAAACTACGCTGCAACGAGTGCGGATTTGTGACAATTCAGGAGTATACATTTTCCATGCTGCCGGGCTTGAAGGAACTGTTTCTTCGAAAGAACAAGATTTACAAGATACATAGTATGGCATTTCCTCAGTCAGCTTTAACGAAATTGATGCTTGAAGATAATGCGCTGAAGAGCATTGATCAGAGCATATTGAATGTGATGAATTTGACTATTTGCTTGGACAACAATAGTAACGAGTTGAAATGCTTCCTCAAAGATCTGTCGGAGCAGAAAAAGTTTTTCTGTTCTACTACTTCGCAAGAGGATGTTGAGTGCTTGCCACCAGCTACAATCAAAATCTCTACCACTAGTACTATCGATGTTACTAATAATACCACCAATATGACCATCATTTTCACGAACAACTCTAACACTAGTACTATCGATGTCACTTATAGTACCACCAATATGACCATCATTTCCACGAACGGCAGAATGCCCATAACGACGACGAATCATCTGAATACTTTTGCAAAAAGCGAAAATCTTACTACTTCAATCTCCTCCGCTCCATCTTTGGAAATCGTCGAAGGAATTTCGGATGCTTACATCGGTGGCTATCTCACGTTGATCTTTCTAGCTCAGATCGTTACCTTTGTACTGCTGTTTGGAGTTTTGCTCAAGTTGAAGAAGTACGACACCGATCCGGATGTCGATAGGTACGCAGCAAATATACTTAATCCGAATCCCATCTATATAGCCGTTTACTGAACATCGGTGTATTTATCGCCTTCCACTGAAATGGGATTTTATCAATGAAAATCATTGTAACTCATCGACAGCGATATCAGCGTTTCCATACTGATAGCAACTCTAGCAAAGATATTAGCGTCGTGCATGTGGTTGTGTGTGAATCATCTCTTTTGGATCTGTAGAGTTGATAAGAACTGATTATAGAATAGTTCAAATATTTATTTTTTATATTTGAAATAAAAAAAAAAAATCATTTTTGAAACATGAATCATTTAAAGGACATGAAAGGTGTATTTTTCCCGCTTGAACGAAAATTTTCCTACTCAATACTGCATTATGAATGCGGATGTGGATTCGATGTTCATCAAATCAATAAGAGTTTAGCACTGGAATGTGCTACATCCGTAACCACAGCACAAATAGAATCATAAATATGCTTGCCCACAAATACTTAAACATCATACGTGCTTCGCTTCGATAGCTACCGATGTCCTCAGCCATCTCCACAGAAACATGTTTGGCTCGTAAAAATCACCACAAAACCATAACTCTCCTATCAGCTTCCTGTAACCGTGTATCGCATCACCTATAGGTATGTAACTATATCTAGATTATTTATCTTGCAAGCCTCGCCATTGCATCGTAAAAACCGAAGTATAGATGAGCAAGTGTCTGATTTAGCCCATTCACTGAGCAGCATTTATACTTGTTTCCTGTTTGCTTCACAACATATTGACTGTTGGGCCATGAGTGGATCGGTGAATGCATGGGGAGGTAAATTAATTTTTTTGACCGCATGAAACGAGACGATCATCATCATTTAAGAACGATTCTCCATGCCGACCATCCGATTTGTTTGTGTTCTTTAGTTGGTAAGTATGTGTCAAACTGTGGTAGCAGGACCGAAAGAAATAGTGCATAAAAGACCAGCAATACAAAAAGGGAACGGGAAGCGTATTTGATTAATGCTTCTTGATACAATTTTTCCTTCATCGGGAGTATTCAGAGCAAAACTGAGGTCCCGCCGAAGAAGTGGAATGTAACCGAAACATATACCAAGAAGGGAGAAAGGATTTATCGCTTGGATGGCGGGTAGATAGGGCTACCAGAGCATTAATAATCGATGTCAACTCATTCTCTTGAAGAGGTCACTAATTCTCGCTGAAATAGTTTCACAAGGGAAAGGTTCCGCCACACTAGGATAAAACAGATGAATGGTCCTTATGACCCAGATTGAACGATTCAATTCGGTTTTCAACTTACTTGAACTTGTTTAGCGACCTGGCCATGGTGGACTATTTACACTAGGATTCACATTCATTCAAGTGAGGTGCATAGAGAGAAGCTACATTTATGGATCTCCAAGTATTCCAGTAGGTCGAAAATCGTCATTAATCTGAAATTTATATAAAAAAAACATTTATACTTTGCCATACGGGCAGTCCCAGGCAAAAAAAAAAATATATACCTATATAATTTTTGATTTGACCTTCTCCGATTTGCATGAAACTTTGCGTAATTGTTTGTAATTCACATTTTTGCAAATATGGGGCCATTTTGGAAATGTTATTTTTCAATAAATTGGAGCACAAAAACGTTATTTACAAAGTATATGGCATGCAATTTTTTGGTATTATTCTTTGGAATTTCGCCTCTTATGTCGGGCTGAAACCAACGATCTTTCAAATCCGAAAACTAAAAGCTACGAAAAAGTTCTTAGGCCTTCATTAAGTTCCACTTTCACGAGACGTTCAATGTTTCGATTTGCTCTTTACGCATTGTTCAGGCTATCATAACAAGCTATGACCGACGTGACGATTGATTAAGCCCTGGTTAAACAAGCTATTCAAATAAAATTACGTTCTCGAAAGCAGTATCGCTTTTATTATGTTCTAACTAAAACCGCAAAATAGAACACGATCGAGGTTATCCCGGCAGGAAACAAACGGATTGTTTTTAACTGGAACAAATCAATTCATAACAATTCCTAGATCAGCAATCGGGAAGGTAGACATCTATCTCGGGTTTCAGATGGGGACGTAATAAGTCCAACAAGTGAATTACAAGCAAATTTGCGTAGGGACATCATCAAGCTAACTCGGCGGCTGGAGAACTACATCACCGCTGGTGACCTGAACGCCAAACATCAAGCTTGGGGCAACATTCGACGAAATCAAAACGGCACCATCCTGAACAACTGATCTGCACGAAGTCCATTACTACATCTTGAACCCGGACTCTCCCACCAGGTTGAGTCGGTGCAGTGTTCACGCCATGTTCGATATCTACATCAGCGACATGGCCAACAACATCTCAGGCAGAAGTGGGTTTCTCCGTGAACATATTCCAAGCTTCCCACTGCAGCTACCATCGTGTCAACTGGTACCAGTTTCAACACTCAACTATGATGTCCAAATGGAGTCGTTCGAAGACGTTGACCGATGCCTGTGATCCATCGAGGAGGCAATATCCCGGGCCAGGCATCAACTCGTGCCAATATCCAGACCGGTGAGCACCCAAATTTGCAGCAACTTGATTGAGACTCGTTCAGACCAGGATGGTCTAGGCTCAGGTTTTTGATCAGTAACTTAGGTGTGACTACTTCCCCTCGTTCTAGAAGTCAGCTATAGTCATAACCCATACGCAAACCTGGGAAAGATCCTTGCTCTCCTTCCAAATACCAACCTTTCATCATCTCTCAGGGTTAAAGCAAAAAGCAATTTACCAGCGTCTTCCAATATCTGCCGATGAAATCAACGTGTTACTCGAGGAGCAGTTTGGTTTTCAATAAAGGCACAAACTGGCTCGAGTAAAAAATATGCTCAGATGGAACAAGTCTGTTTCAAAAACATCTGCCATGGCGGTATGGCGATGATCATCCTGCACCTAATATGGACCAACAGGTATGTGCCATAAAAAGGGAGATCATCCTGCACTATCTCTCGGGAATGGCATCACAGCAGATGGCTTCATCACCGGTGCGGGTACTCCAAGGAAGTATCCTTGCGCGCATCCTGTTCAATTTGTTTACCTCCGATATTCCGGCTCTCCCAGATGGTGTCCCCGTTGTTGGGTAGGGACTCTCACTGTCAAACCTAAGAGAGTCTAAGTAATTCAACAACTGGAAGATCCGTATCAAAGCGGCGAAAATATGAAAGGTGATGAATTTTCCACATTCACAATCATCCAGAGTTGTTCCATCTGTGAATATAAAAATAAAATAGGAGGACAAACGTCCAGATGAGGAGAGATGATTGATATGTAAAGCTGTATATTACTGGTAATAGTTAAATCACAGACAAACAGACAACACATAGTTGCTATAAGAATGCATAAACGATATGTGAGACCATTTATACATTTCATTTGACACATGATGTTCATTAACTTTTTGATAGGGTTATTGGTTGACTTAAACATTTTATGACTAATCAGCAATAGAAATTAACCAAAAGGTATAAGCAATGTGTTAGTGAAATGTGCAAATGTTTAGTGGTGTTCGCAATTCATTGCAATGTTTATCTTTTTACACTGTCTGCGATCAAACGCTCCCAGCGAGAACTGAAATTTCCTACGACGCAATTTGTTTCTAGAACATTCCATGCAAAGAAGAAGAAGAATGTTTTTCCTTACGACGGCGCGTGTGATTGGTGTTTGGTCGGGTCGCGAGTGTGTATATATACCGGGCCTGTTCTCGCGTATCGTTTATCCCGACAGGCGTTGCGGACCCGCAGCCGGGGCCTCCCGGAACTAAACGACCCAGACCTGAAGACAGCAGCGCCACCGTATCAGCAGCAAAAAAGCTGCTGAGCAACAATCCGTTCTCCGCCCTGCAGAACGGAGCCCAGCCGCAGTCGGACCCTGAGACGGTGCCGAAAAAAGTTAAGTTGCCACCCTTCTATGTGAAGGGCTTCCCTCCCGGGCTATGGGAGCAGCTGGATTTCTACATTAAGCAGGGCCTTCGCTGCACCATTCAACGGTGCACGGAAGGCTACAAACTGATGGTCCCGGCCGAAAAACACTTCAACGCAGTTCAGGCCCTCTTGGACAGGATGAAGCTGGAGTACTTCTCCCACGACATCGAGGCCACCAAGCCGCTGAAAGTGGTGCTGCGCGGGCTCCACGACATGGACACCACCACCTTAATGGACGCGATTAAGGCGAACGGCCTCAAGCCGGTCGAAGTCCACAAGATGACCCGCAGCAAGGCCATCAAGTATCGTGACCAGCTCTACCTGGTCCATCTGGAGAAGAACTCCACAACCGTGAAGGATCTCCAGACGACACGCACACTGTTCCACATCGTAGTGAAGTGGGAGCGGTATAAGCCGACCCATCGTGGCGTCACTCAGTGCTCGAACTGCCTATTGTTCGGGCACGGCACCAGGAATTGCCGCATGGCCAGCCGCTGCATCAAATGCGGCAAAAACCACAAGATCGACAACTGCGACAGCATCGAGGAAGCCACTCCCACATGCGCCAACTGCGGTGCCGCCCACAAGGCCACGAGTAAGGCCTGTCCGAAGCGGGCCGAATACGCCGAGATCCGGAAGAAGGCCTCGTCCAACAGCCAGCCCGGTCGCAAGAAGGTTCCAGAAAACAACGCGCAGAACTTTCCTCCGTTATCACCGGTCCAATCACGGCCAATTCCAGTGTTGCCGCCGCTCCCGCTCAACCAACAGTTGGCTGCCGCTGCAGTACCCGGTCAAGCCTCCGGGCCATCGACGGATCCCCCTGCTCCGGGATTGGCCGGTACAACCGGTGAAGCTACAGACGATTCTCCGCTGTCAACGGATGAGATCGTCACACTGTTGGCCCAGGCCATCATCATCAAGCGCACCTGCGCAACAAGAACACAACAGCTCCAAGCTATCATCTCCTTCGTCGCTAATTATGGACCGTGAACCCATAAAGATCGCCAACTGGAACGCTCGCTCCGTAGAGGCGAAAAACATTGAGCTTGCAGACTTCCTCCGCAAGCACGACATCGACGTGGGCCTTCTCACCGAGATCCACCTCAAGACCGGTGACAGCTTCTGGCTGCCCGACCACAGCATTGTCCGGCTTGATCGCACCAGCTCCAGGGGGGGCGGTGTCGCGGTCATCATCAAGAAAGGCATCAAGTACTGCACCCTACCCCACTACCGCACTTCCATCATCGAGGCCGTCGGCGTTGAGGTGGAAACATCGACCGGAAACGTCCGGTTCATCGTTGTC